TTTATTGTGGCACTATTCACAATAGCAAAGACCTGGAACCAACCCAAATGTCCATCAATGATAGACTGGATTAAGAAAATGTGGCATATATACACTATGGAATACTATGTAGCCATAAAAAAGGATGAGTTCATGTCCTTTGCAGGGACATGGATGAAGCTGGAAACCATCATTCTCAGCAAACTATCACATGGACAGAAAACCAAACACTGCATGTTCTCACTCATAGGTGGGAATTGAACAATGAGAACACTCGACACAGGCCAGGGAACATCACACACTAGGGCCTGTTTGGGGGTGGGGAACTCGGGGAGGGATAGCATCAGGAAAAATACCTAATGTGAATGACGAGTTGATAGGTGCAGCAAACCAACACGGCCCATGTATACCTATGTATCAAACCTGCACGTTGTGCACATGTACCCTAGAACTTAAAGTATAATAATAAAAAAGAAAGAAAGGAAGAGAAACTGCAAGAAAAGGGCAACAGTCACTATTTAAATGCCATCCCACTTTTCAACAATTTTACAAACCTAATAAATACATATTTTATAATTGAATAATTACATTGCATAAGGGGGAAAACCACCAATGAAAAAATCATCATGTGGTTTGATCAAAAAGAAAAATGAAGCTTAGAGTCTTTCGCAATAATACCTATGTTAATAAAAAGAAGTACGGAAATAAGAATACAAAGGGATCTAAAGTCATGGAAGTTCATATACATTCGGTGAATATGACATAAAAAGGCTGAATTCTCTCACAGCGTACATGGCACACCAAGGAAAAAGAAACAATATTCAGCTCCCAGAGTACCATTTCAATGAAACCCAAATATTCTGGATTAATGAAGGCTGCCTGTGAAATGTTTGGTAAAGGAGTAGATCCCTTTATAGAAACATGGAGTGGGATAGGGTGGATTTGGTGATGTGATGAGCCTCTCCTGAGAAACGCTTCCCTTCTTGGACACATGTCCATTCATCACTGTCCACAGCTTTACTGGGCTTATAGATACACAGTCTTATCTCCTCCCCAGGCCCTTCCGCCATTTCTTGATAATTTCAGCATTACAAGTAGAAGACTTATTTGAGATGCAACCATCACTGTGCCTACCAAACTCTGAGATGTCCCCACCTAATGCACCAGACCCCAAATCCGGACCAGAAAATCTTTTGTCAGCACAGATCCCTGTCTGGAAACTGAATTTCATGTGTCATTCTCTAATCACAGACATCCATCCCAACTTAATTGCACCACTTCCACTGAACTGAGTCAACCTCTTTGACACTTCTACTTCCTTTGAGTGCTTAGGTCTCCTGTGGTCACCTCTCTATCTTTCGCAAGACAGGACCACTAAAAATTATTATGTCAACAATTGTAATTTGCTGTTGCATCATCTTTCCCCTGAAAATCACACAAGCAAAAAATCCAGGATGGATCGGTTCCAAACGTAGTGTCCCTATTCCTGCCCAGCTGAAGGACATGCACAACCATGAAGATGGTGCTTTCACAAACCAACAGTCTCCATGAGTCACACTAGTCCTTGTCCATCCTTTGACAAACATTCTTGTCTACTTCTTCTTCCTTGCAGTGACCATTTAAAACCTGAAATACACTACTAGAGACCACTTAACAGTTTACCTCACTGAAGGCTATTATGACAATGAGAAGCAGAAATGAAATCTTTGGAAAGATAAGTAGATATGGAAGCAATTGTAAGTAAACACATTTTTTAAAAAAGTGTTTTGCCTGGCACTTTGATTGGATGAAGGCACCAACACAGACCTGAGATAGTGGCTTCCTGTTGGCACAGTTGATGCCCCCAATGAAGACCACATTGGGCATGATCGGCCTGGGGTAGTCCATCACAAAGTCCCCTCGGAACAGCCACACGGATGCATGGCTGAGAAGATCCACCACTGACACCTCTCTCTGAAAAAGCTCAGAGGCAAGGCTTGCATAAGGAGCAAAAACAGCATGGCAAATGTAGGACAGGGCCAGAGGATAGAGCATGTTCTTGACCCTTTGCAGGAATGTCATGTGGTCTGAATTGGTTGTTAGTAATCTAGGAATATAGGAGGAAGGGTTTGGACACTGTGTGCCCTTAAAGTCTAAATCACATAGAATGTACCTCAAAAAAAACACAGCAGGAATCGACAGGTACTTAGCCAGCACCACCCCACAGAGGTTAACGGGGTCTGTTAACACCACATCAAAGGAAGTAGCATTCAGGTGCCTCATTAGGTCTCATTATGCAGTAGCTCCACACAAGACCTATGAAAGACCAAAGATATATTGTTCAAAATTGCCATACTTCTGAAAAATTTCTTCAGAAAATATCCTGTTTTAAAGCACAGTTGAGTGTGGCCCAGCACAAAACCATCAAATTCATCCTGGGTCCATGGAATGGCATAGGTTGTCAGGGTGAAAAAGTTCTCTTCTTTGACGTGCATTTTCACCTCCGGAGTGAGGACCACCGCCTGGTGGCCTCTGGCATGGAGCTCCCGCACGGCCTCCCGCATGCTGAGCCAGTGGCTGCCATCAATGGGCACCACCAGCACCTTTCCACTCTCAGCCCAGGGCTGGACACTGAGGAGGAGCAGCAGTCCTCTGGCCAATCGCGTCAGGGGAACCTGGAGTCCTGCGGCCATTTCAGCAGAAGCCACTGACAACTGACTGTCCACCCCACGCTGTGCATCCTACCTTTGCTTTCTTCATCTTAATTACCTTGTCACTGAGCCACCTAGCAAATCAACACGCAATTGGAAGACAGAGTGCCCTCCTCCAGTTAATTATTAACCATTAATCTATCATTGTTTTTCACTGTGGGCCCCACACTGGAAAAGACCAATCATGCCTATCTTGAAAAAGTCATCTGACCCTGCGCTCGCTCTGGGGAACATCCAAGTTTACGCTCTTGTTTCTTATCCAATTCCCAACACAAGGCTGTGAACACCCATTTCATGTCACTGCCTCCTACTTCTCTGTTAACCACGTTTATCAGGCTGCAGCTGAGGTCTGAGGAGTCAACATTGCCCTGGTCCCTAATCATATGCTCTCAGCTGGATGACCCTATTTGCTAACCCTTAAAACTCTTTCTTCTCCTGTATAAGTAACACAGCACATCCAAGAAACAGACAACATTGCTAAGCAAACTTTCTCTAGCAGGGACTGGGGAGGCTGGCTATTTGGTTTTGGTCATTTTTTGCAGCAGGATATTTATTGTAAGGATCAAAGAGGACTCTCTCTGAAGTGGCTGTCAATATATAAAAAGCTGCAGGGAGGCTGAGCTCAAGATGTGATGATCGGATTCTTGGGAAAGCTTTGTTGAGAATTCTCCATCTACACCATGGGATAAGATGTGCTGCTGTCTAAAGCACACATGGGAAAGACAACCCTAGCAAGGACCCACGGTGGGTTCAGGGAGCTCCCTGCTCACCAAGGGACCCGGGTTAACTGGAGCCTGGCCTCAGATCTTGCAAAGTCTGAATTTCTCTTCTGAATGCTGAAGGCTCCAGTCTTCTGCAAGTCTGCTTAGAGACTAAAGTGTCCATTCACCCAGGCCTTTATTTCATCCTGAAGGTTATGGTCAGGGTTTTCTCCAAGTCAATCTAGCACCAAGTTCTGATAAGAATGGTTCCTCCAGAACAGAACGGGCTGCACAATTTGTGGGGGCCCTAGGTCAAATTTCAAGATGGAGAATTAAATGTGTGCCTTTCTAAGGGAGATACCCTGAGCACTCACAAGGGTCTCATGCCCATGAGGCTCGTCCTGCTCCAGAAAGTCACTCCTGCATGTGCTCGAAGATTGCTGATGCCTCCTTGTCCTAGTCGCCTCAGGATGATGTGGGCAGGCTCTCTGGGGTGTGCACTTTCTATCTCACTGCCTCTGTGTCTTCTTGCCTGGCTGTGTCTGCCATTGCTGGTGAGACTGAGGCTTCCCTTAGGGAGAAAGTTACTCCCATGAGAAGTCCACATTCATAACATATTCCACCCTTGGACAGAACCCATGGGACAGGCAGTGAATGGAAGCATCTACCAGGGGGATATCCAGCTCAAGGGCAGCACACTCAGGATGGAACAGAGAAGGCGGGTCTGCAAGAGCTTTAGGAACTCTCCAGTAGAGGATGATTCCTGGGGAGTTGTAAGGACATAGAGCACTAGAAACGGATTCTCAGCTGTGGGTGCAACATCTCAGCCTCTGAACTATTCCTCCAACCCCCTTAAAACTATATGCCTCCTAAGCACCCTCCTGGTGAGCCCAGGTGAGGGGTGGAACACGCTTGGGAGGGTGCTCTTCCCACATTCATGGGCTCCTGTGTTCTACCTCCAAGTAGTGGTGTTTTATTTAGACAGTGAAGTCATCTGATTCTTGTCACATGTCTGGGACTCCCAGACTCTGGGGAGGCCCATGTACCTTGGAAGATGGTGGTACTCCAGAGACCTAGGGGGCCCTGAGGAGAGCAGAACTATGGGGAGGGAGGAGCTCCTGGTGCCTGGGAAACAGGAGGAGCTGCCCAGGGCATCAGCTTCCAGGGTCTGGAGATGAAGAGGGGTCTGGGCTGCACAGATAGACTTGGAGCCATCAGCATATGTGGTGGTTGAAGCCATGGGTGTCAGTGAGGTCACCCCAGCAAAGTCCAGAGACAGAAAAAGCCATCCCGAAAGCCTGACCTGTGTGGTCTTGTTCCCCTCTGCCAATCTCACAGAGCTAAACATACAAACTGGAATCCTTTAACATTTGTAAGAGAAGACAGAAACAAATCTTCACATCTTGGAGAAGACAAAGATTCCTTAGGGTACAAAAACTACAAATGGTAAAACTTGCTAGAATGAACCTCACCAAAATCTAAAACTTTTGCTCTTTGAAAGGTATTGTTTTTTAAAAATTAAAAAAGGAAGATCAGGAGAAAAGGAGATAATTGAATGGTAAGCTGATAGCTCTGAAGGCTGGAGAATAGAACTCTATGGAAGACAGGAAGAAAAATTTAAATGGCCAAATAGAGGAAAATCTCCTAGCTTTGAATACGACGTGGGTTTCACTTTAAGCTTAGTGTCTGTGGTAGGCAGAATCACAGCCCCACGAAAGTATCTACATTGTAGTTCCTCAAACCTGGGAATATGTTCCATTACAGATGGAAGAGACTTCACAGATCTGGTTAAATTAAGAGTTTTGAGTTGGAGAGATCATCCTGGATGTCTGGGTGGGACAATGTAATCACAAGGGCTCTTACAAGTGAAAGAGACAGGTGTAAGAGTGGGAGACTTGAAGACGCTGCACTGCATCGCCCTAAAAATGGAAAAGTACCATGAAATTCCAAAATGAATAAGGAAAAAGGAAATTTCTGTTAATATGAGCTTACATTCAGCAGAAAGAACAAGATTAAGAACAGACAGAATCAGAATGCCGACATCAAAAGAAACTACGAGATTGAAGCAATTTTGATTTTTGTTGTGTTTTAAATAAATAAATAATTTAAAAAAAAACACAGGTACTGAAACTCCCGAGTTCAGTGATCCTCCCACCTAAGCCTCCCAAGTAGCTGGGACCACAGGCGCATGCCACCGCACCCAGCTTTTCATATTGGAGTTTTAAAAAATGTTTTCTAAACTTTTTAAACAAGATTTCCACATGCCAAAGAAATTTTTATTTTTTTGAAATGGGGCCTCGCTCTGTCACTCAGGCTGGAGTGAGGTGGCATGAACATGGCACACTGCAGCTTCCACCTCCTGAGATCACGTGATCCTCCTGCCTCAGTCTACTGAGTGGCTGGGACCACAGGCATGTGTCATCGCAACTGGATAATTTTTTGGTTTTCTGTAGAGATGGAGTCTCAGCATGTTGCCCAGGCTGCTCTCAGACTTCTGGGTTCAAACAATCCTCCTGCCTCAGTCTCGCAAAGAGTTGAAATTACAGGTATGAGCAACCCACCTGCACACAAATCATTTTTAAATGAAAAGAGATGGAGAATTTAAAAAAATAACATAGGAGTAGCAATATTGGTATCAGATAAAACGGATTTTAAGGGTTATTATTTAATGATAACAGCAAACTATGTGAAGAAAATACAAGTCTCAAACCTACATGCACCGATCTAATCACTACGTATAAAGCAAAAACTATTCAAGTACCAAAATATAACTGGAGCAGAATTTGTTATGTAAGGGGATTTTTTAAAAGACATTCTTCCCAGAATTGGGCAGGATCAGTAGAGCGTCATTTAAAAGATAGAAAAATTGGCCCAGTGTGGTGGCACACGCCTGTAATCCCAGCACTTTGGGAGGTCGAGGCTAGTGAATCACTAGAGGTCAGGAGTTTGAGACCAGTCTGGCCAACATGATGAAAGCCCATCTCCACAAAAAATTTTTAAAAATTAAAAAAATAGCTGAGCATGGTGCTGTGCACCTGTAGTCCCAGCTACTTGGGAGGCTGAGGCAGGAGAATCAGTTGAACGTGGGAGGTAGAAGTTGCAATGAGCCGAGATTCCACCACTGCACTCCAGCCTGGGAAACAGAGTGAGACTCATTATCAAAAAAGAAGAAAAGGCCGGGTGGGGTGGCTCAAGCCTGTAATCCCAGCACTTTGGGAGGCCGAGATGGGTGGATCACGAGGTCAGGAGATTGATACCGTCCTGGTGCCTGTAGGCCCAGCTACTCGGGAGGCTGAGGCAGGAGAATGGCATGAACCCGGGAGGCAGAGCTTGCAGTGAGTTGAGATCGCGCCACTGCACTCCAACCTGCGACAGAGCGAGACTCAGTCCCACAAAAAAAAAAAATCCAAAAGCTAGAATTGTAGTTGTGTCCATGGAACATTTATAAACATTGACCATATTGTTGTCACTAACTGCATAGGACTACGGAGCACTAGAAATGTGGCTATTCCAAATGGAGATATGCTGTGTCAGACATACGCTAGATTCTGAAGACTTAACAAGAATAAAACTATATCAAATAGTTAAGTCATAATCTCATACTGAATACATGTTGAAAGGATAATATTTGGGATACATCTGGCTAAATAAAATGCATTATTCAAATTAATTTCAGCGGTTTCTTTTTTGCTGGTTTCTAACATGCCCACCAGAAAAGTTTAAATTATGTATGTGGCTTACATTATATTTCTATTGGACAATTCTGCATTAGACCGTCAAGGTAACCTATTAAGAATTTTTTTAAGTAGTGTCTTCACAAGAAACATTCTTATTATAATCCAAAATAACCAGAAAAAATAAGAAGGAGATGACTACAAAATTATTAACGATATCAGAATTAGGAAACAGACTTACAGACAGTCACTGCATCAAAGGAGAAATTTTAAAACTGATATTTAAATTATCTAAAAGCAGTGACAAGAACAGCAATTTTTACCAAAACCTGAGGGACACAGAAAAAGTTTTACTCAGAGCCCTCAATATTTCATTAAGGAAAATCAAATGTAAAGAAACGTAACATTCCTCTAACGCAGTTACAAAAGCAGCTACAAATTAACCAAAAGAAACTAGGATGAAATCATTAAGGCAAAAATAAGCTGCAATTAATGAAACAGAAAATGAAACAGTAAAAAGAATATACAAATTCCACAGTTATTTCTTTAAGAGGACCAATCAAATAATTCAACCTATCATAAACTTTAAATCAAGGAGAAAGAGAGGGAGAAAAAGCATA